GTGACGTGATGCTGCACAAGGTACTATTACAATAATTAATACTATTACAAGGAAGTTCAAACGCTCATGCAAGATTTTATACTGCAACCATCGTATAACACAATTCGTTCTCGACCGGCGCTCGCGCTCGAAACGTAACCAGTTGCCATCGTGGTGGCTAAATCGGTGACAACCATAAGCAAAAAGGCCAAATCTTTGTGTGTAACTTCCGACCAAGCTAAAACAGTCGAAACCCCATCATTAAAACACAGAGGGACCAGTTCGCGTCAACATCGATCGACTATCAATATGATTTTAGTAGAAACAGTTATTAAACCTCGCGACTAACAGTAAGAACCTAATGTATTTTAAGAACCTGTTAGGTTACAATTTGCCAGTTAGGCCCCTCTATACAAAAACCTGTTAAGGGTAAAATTTGAAACAGGTTCTTATTTTCTAATTCCTGTGAGAAAATTCTGTACTCTTGGGCAAGTAAGATAAGTCAACATTCAGAATCCTCTTTGGAGACATAGATTCCTCATCACTCCAACTGCAATATAATGGTATGCAGATTTTATATGTTGAGTAATATTGTTTTTTTTTTTTCTTCACAAAATAAGAACCTATTTAAGAACCTAAATAGGCTAAACATGTGGTAACCACCATTTATATAAGAACCTATTTAGGTTAAATTGGAAAAATCCAGGCTCTTAAGTCGGGGGGTTTTTAATAAACCACTTCATTCCTTATTATCGATCATTGTTATAACGCCCTACTAGCTGCTGTCTTAATGCTAACAGTTACAAGATTTTTAAGCGCAGTTAGTGGCCAGACTTACCTAGTGGGTACTCTTTGAAATATCATGAAATGTGCCGGTTTCGTCGTCCCTATACTCGAAATCTTCACGGATTTCACGTTTAGTTCGGAACTTACAGAGACAGCAAACATTTTTTCAGGCGCAATTGGCCACCTTTGGGAATGAAATTTCCGTGAACAAAAGAGTCCATGAAGGAATAACTTCAGATGAAAAAGCCGGCGCAAACTTATTAATTTGCATTTAACTTAGACTAATTGAATATTTTTTCCCTGCGATCATTCATAAGAAGTATTTTAAAAAGCATTTCAATGTAGTGAGCCTTTTCTTTAACAAAATTGGTGAACTGAATGGTTGAGCAATATCCACTCTTTCTCCTAGAAAAAAAAAGTAATTAAGACGAATTTACTGAGAGCTACGTGATTGCCTAGAGTTTATTGCCCACGCTTGCTCTTAGATAAGGAAGTTGAAGAAGAATTACACTTCGGGTATATTTGCTTAGCAAACACAAGTTGTACATTATCATCCCAAAACTGTTTCCGTTTCAGATACAAATCAAACGGAAACTTAATCAGATTTCTTCCTCGCCCCAAGAATAAATTACACAATTTTAAAGCTGAGATTTCAGGGCGTAAGTATCGTGTTGAAAAAGATAGAGGAAAATATATGAAAGAGTCTTATTCGCGGTTATATTTTGAATAATCCTCCATGAATTCAGTACAAGGCAGGGTTCGTCGATGATAAGATTAGGCCATTGTGTGCCATGAAATGTCCATCTGCGTTGCTACAGCTTTTATTTGGCAAATAAAGGTTTGGATGTGCAGTTTTGTTGATCAGGGACAATATATTATTCTTTTAAGGAAAAAATAAAACACCAAATAACTTATAAAACAAATGAACGACTTGAGCGACCCTTTCTCAAGAATTCCTTCATCATAAAGGAGTTGTCCAATCCTGCACGCCAGAATTCATTCTAGAAGAAAACATTTGAGCACAGCCGATGAAAACAGTTATTTCGGCACTCATTCTTTTGTCCTTATAAACGCTTGGATGGATAAATCTTATTTTCACTCAGGTGTTAAAATTTGCTTCCTTATAGTAATGTTTTTATTCACCCGCACTTTTTTTAAGTCCACGCCACGTTAATGTTTTTTTTGTTTTTTGTTTTAACCAGATAAGTAAAATATATTAAGTTATTTCATTTCTACGTTCCCCTTACAGCATTAAAAAAAATTGCGATTAAAGTTGGATAATTTTGGCATTATTTTTAGTTACTAAACTGAGTTAAACATGCAATATAGTGAGTACTGAAAACTTCGTTTTAGAACAGGGAAGTGATTGTCGCCTTTGAAAAGATTTTATTTACTTTGCGGTTGAAACAATTAGGTTGTACCGAAATATACGATATTTTTTGCTTTAATTTTAATTACAATTTTTTTAAAGAGCCGGGCGACAAGGGCTTAATTTTCGTTCACCTGATTCTTACTTGTTTAATAATCCGTGCATCATTTCATGGCAATAAAAAAGACGTATTTGCCACTACTAGTTCATTGCATGCTATTTTAACGAAAAGGCAGCAAAAAACTTTTCTAACTCTTCTAGTTTCCTTTCTCCTAGGTAAATTAGCTTTCTCTTTGGGGAAGAACGTTGCGTGACGAAACAAAGAACCGCTCAGTAGGGAGCAGACGATCTTTGGGAGGTTGTCCATCAACCGATTTATTCAAACGGGTAAGCTGAATTAGAAATGAAGGTATCTCAGAAAAGACTTTGGCCCTCGGAAAATGGTAGTGGTAAACACCTTGGAATGGAAAAAGGTCGTATCATTGGGGAACGGATTAGATTTGAAGCGGTTAACGTATTGCTTGATAAGAGTTCCACATGTTTTGGTCAAAACTGGTCTTGAATTAAACTAAGTACCAGGGGCACACAAAGAGAATATAGTTCAAAACTACTTAAACATAGCATTGTTAAACGTATTTTAGTATTTAAAAGGTAGATACAGGTATATTTTTATCCCCTTAACATTATAATTATCAAAACTTACCTTTTCGAAAATTTCAGCCAGAAAAAGGGATCCCGAAAATTCCAGGTGATCTTTTTAGGGTAAAAATCCATTAAAAATGATCAATTATACCATTTTTTAGTTGTTCGGAAATCCTAGGAGAGGCAGGCAAGCAAGAAATTTTACAACAAATGTTCCGAAAATTGACGTTGGGTGCCCCTCCTTAGACACTTTTTTTTCGGTCTACAGACGTTAAAGGAGAGATATCAAGCAGTTCTCCCACTAAAGGGATAGCGTGTGAAAGACGCTTTTGTGATTTTGCGAGTACCTATAGTTTCGACGTTATCAATGCATCAGCCAATTCCAGCTGCGCCCAGACGAGATTTGACTGAAGGTGAAAGTTTTTACGCATTTTCTCAACACATAGACAACCCGGAAACCTTCATTGTTCTTTTGATTCACCAGAAAAGTCAGGACTTTTAAGGCTTAATTAATTGAACGAGGTTAAGCACGATAATAAAAATTCTAACATTTGAATAACTTGTTTCGGCAATGAACCACATTCTCGCTAATACTGGAAGTAGAATGAGGACGGCTATCACGTTTTCTCTTCACATGTCTTTAAGCAAAGGCGTTTTTGAGCGACGCACTTCAACCGGAAGTGAGAACCTTTTCCCTTTAATGGGATCAATTTAGGTGGCTGGTAAACTGCTCACCTACCCCTCCCCTAAGCTAACATTAACACTTACTTCTCGCTTAGGGCAAAATTATGGCATAGGGGAGGGGTAGGTGGGCAGTTTCCCAGAAACCAAAATTGATCCTTAATATGCCTTGACGCTATAAAATTTGGATTGTTAATTAGTTTCTTTACACTTGAAGAGACAATTTAACTGAAAATGAAAGTCCACTTCCGGATGGCGTGCGTCGTTCAAAAACGCCTTTGTTTAAGTTCCGTAATGACGCCGGTTCACGCGCGTCAAATACCTTAAGGGACGGACCATCAGAAAACTTATAGGGGGGCGGGCGAAGCCCAAAAAAAATATTCGCGCAAGGGAAAATTAAATGAAAAAAAATTCATGCACGCCAATTAATCCTAAAAAGCATTCATGCTAAAGCCTAAAAAAATTTCATACAAGGAATTTGATAACGAAAAAAAATTCCTGTGGCTCGAAAATTCCCCTCCCCCCCATAACTTCTCTAATGGTCCGTCCCTAATTGTCTTGGGAAAATCTCACCCTCGTAGTCGTCCTCGTCTTAGAGTCTATTAAAAGGTCTCTAGTATAGCGAGGAACGGCCCGTGGGACAGACCAATCGTGACGTCGTCGCTCTCTCGGTCACTTCCCTTGCTTTACAGTTACGTCGAATTCAGTTTCTCAAAACAATTTTGATTTCATCGCTCTCTTCTGTTTGAGAACAATGGGGTAAGAGCATGTTGCACATTATCATTTATGCAACTTCTTCTTCAAAGAAAATCTATTGTATTGTCTACCTGACGGCTCGGCAGGAGGAAACAGGAGGAAAGGGATAGAAAAAAAGACTTTCAACAACGTGTACAGCTAGTCCATTCTCGATAACTCGAATCGTCTCTAATTCAAGCCTCGCACTAATTCGAACCATGTAAAATTGAAGTCCTTTTCCGGATTTCTAACCTCCTACGCGGGACGTTCTTATTCTTGGTTTGTAGTCATGTGACAAGGTGGTCACGTTGGCGATTAGTAGAATTTTTCTAGTTCTCAGGGGAGAAGGACACTTTTCTTCTTAACCACCAATATTAGGAGCCGAGGCATCACGTGCAAACCAGCAATAGGCCGTGGGTTCGATTCTCAGGGTTGGACCGTTACTCAGGGTCATAAAATAACTGAGAAATGTGATGTGATGTGTGATGGTTAAGATGGACGGCCGCGTGTTTAAGTGCTCCGCGTAACATTTCGTAAATTTCTGATGTTTAAGTGTTCCTTCTGCTTTTTTCTACTTGTTTTGTTATCTTGTTTCGTGTGTCACATTATGCCTGAGTCTATTGCCAACCTAAAGAGAGAAAATAACGATCTCAAATCTAAAGTTTCAACGTTAACGGAGGAGATTTCAAGACTAAAAGATTTATTTCAACAACAAAGCAGCAGTGCCGCCCCTTCTGCTAAAGAAAAATCTCACAGCCTTGAATTCCTAAGCAAGGAATATGATGACTTTCTTCTCTTCAAAGCCACTGCCAACAAAGAGCTGCAACGACTAAGTTCACAACTCTCACAGGTCAAGGCCAGGGTGGACGCCATTGCCAACGCCATCGATGAATTCCAAGAATATAGCTTTCAATACAATGTTAAAATTGTCGGTGTTCCCGAGGTGTGTTCTGACGAAGCGGCTTCAACAACAAGTAAGCTTTGTGTAAAATTGTTTAAAGAAATGGGAGAGAATATATCAATCCAAGATATTGACACTGCCCATCGTGTTCCGCAAAGAAACAACGTCGGAAATCCAAAGCCTATAGTCTGCAGATTCGTGAGACGGTTGGTTAAGGAATCTCTAATGGGCCTTACGTCTCATTTACTTCAGTAAGTCTAAGGAACACGCCGTACCCTTCTTTCTCAAATCAAATTGCCTTCCCCTGCCTAGCATATTTTTCAGAGATTGTAGCTATTTATTGTATGATATCAACAGACAGACAGCACCAGTTAGTATTCTCAATCAGTTCGTTAAAACAAGTCAGATTCATAACTACAGAACAAGATCTGTCTCTAGCGACTCGTTTTATGTTAAGTTCTCTAGAACCGATAAAATGTATGCCTTTTTCACGAGAATCGGTGCCCAAATTTGGAACTCTATTCCGTATTCGATTAAAATACTTAAACGTTCGTCCTTTCGTAAAAAAATAAAGGAATTATTACTAAATTTTTTGCGGTCAGAAGATGATTATGTCGAAGTCTCCCGTCTTATTAAGTTATTTAATACTTTAGGTTAGCCTCTCTTCGTAATCGTTATGTACATGCCTTGTTTTATGTTAGTTTAAATTCTATTTACTGTATTGTAGTGTCTTCACTGTTATTTAGTCCATCTATATATAAATCTTGTTTTGTAATATGTCTTCAGCTCCCCCCGCCTCGATTAGTTCATAAGCTATTTGCGGGTGGGAAAGTAATGTAATTAGTTATTTTCCAATTTTCAATAAAATTTGTTATTTGTCATTTAAAAAAAAAAAAGAAATCCACCTATGTCCAGAAATGCACGCAACGGCAAAAAAGCAAATCTTGCTAAAATTCGACGGAGGGTTGGTGAAAATTCAAATGAGACGTTAAAGAGGCGCCCAGTTGCTTCAATAATTGGCGAAAAGGGCGAATTTGACAAAAATGGCAAATCTGGCGAAAAAGGCGAATTTGGCGCGAACATTTGCCAGAGCGTTGGCGAAAATTCAGTTGTTAAAACTAGGGTTACCTTCCGGCAAGTGCCAACGAGGCGAATTCGTTTCTCTTTTGTGTAACGTGCCTATTGATATCTTTGCGATTTCTTTCATAATTTGAGAGGTTTAAAATGGATTCCGCTATAGAAAAGGATGACACCCAATTTTGAAACAACAACTTTGGCACATTCTAGGCTTTCACTTTTATTAAACAATACCAACATGGCTTGAAGCTTTGTTGGTAAATATCACCAAGTTAGAACTTATGTTTCATGGAAAATTCCATTGTATCAAAATTAAAAATGCTAGAAAGAAAATTATAGTTCAAATGAGGCCTTTGACTGGTGAAATTAAAAATAATAACTAAATTTCGACCAACAATGCCATCAGGGATAAGAAAAATATTTCGCGTGGTAATATACATAGGTAAAAATTAGTGTAAAGTAAAATGTGTCAAAAGCGCAAGAATTTGGCGGAATGTATCAGAGGTATAAAAATATAAACTTGAATAAAATACAAAGATCTAATCAGCGAGTGTCACGGGACAAAGAGTCTCTCGAAAGGCATAATGATAGTCTTCCAAACAAAAGGTCTGCAAATTCGATGCATTCCTCACGGGAGTTTAGGGCTGTGTCAATGTAAATCGAGCTGCAAAAAGCATGCTGGGCTGAGTTGCTCAAAGCATGGCTAGCTTTAACCATTGGTTAAGCATTATCAAAACCAATACGTTGTCAAGGTATTAAACGCTGGTTAACGCTAACCATGCTTCGAGCAACTGGGCCCTGGTTGAAAAAATCTCTCGAAAGGCATAAATAAATTCTAAAAAACAAATGTCTGCAAATACGTTGTATTCACGGGAGATGAGGACTGGCTCAATGTAAATCGACCTGCAAAGACCACGCTGTTTCTAACTTTATGCCTTGATCAACTACCGCTTAAAATTCAAGTCACAAAGAAAAAGAGAACCCTGAAACCCTGGTTCTGAGTCGAGAAGCGAACACCCTACCTCAATGTAAATCGAGCTGCAAAGAACAAGCTGGTTCTGACAAAAATTTGAGCGTAAAACCCAGCTGCTGCTTTAAACGCAATTTATAAAGCAAATCACAGCACTTATTGCCCTTTCAAACTAGAAATTGTATTAAAGCTTGGTAACCCGTTAGGTCCTCTTGAACAGACAAGGAACAGCTGCACACTGAATCACCCAATTTCGGACCACGAGTAGTAAATACAAGACCATTACGTCACTACCCAAATATGGGGTCTTACTTACACCCAAATATGGTCAAAAATGCAAATTTAAGAGGGTTACGCAGAATTTGAGAGTTTTGGCCTACATTGCGTGGCGTTATAATTCTGTCCCCGAGGCAACCTCGCTTCTTAGCTCGGTTGCCTCGTTGGCAATTACACGTTGATCATTATTATTTTTTTCTGTTATTTGAATTTTCCACATATATATGAAATTTCGCGAGTTTAAATTTCGCAGGGATTTTTATTTGCGGTCGTCTAATTTCGCGCATGAGGTGAAAGATTATGGGTACTTGACATTTGCTTAAGAAAACCAGAAATTCGGATTTGGGATAGTACGCGCCATTCCGTTTGAGAAGCTTCAGAAAATATGGACTGCGATTGGAAGCAATGCAATTTTTCTACTCTCTTTAGGGCCTGTTTGCATGAAGGTAACCCCAGGTAGGTGAGGTAACATGTGGCGGGTTGCCTCACCTAACATGTAAACGTGATCACATTAAACTGAGAGATTATATGAACAGGCGGGTTACCTCACCTACCTGGGGTCCTCCATCTTCATGTAAACAGGCCCTGTCTATAGAGCGTTTTCACTCACGTGGCCAGAATCTATGCAAATTTATTAAAACAACTAGAGAAAGCGTTTGCATAAGAAAAGAGTTCAATTCCCACAGGATTTGTTTGGGACACCAACATGGCCGCCGTTTTATTGTTTTGGGACACCGTAACGTCATTTGAAAACACTCTATGCGGCTGATCTGGATGTACTTTGTAGCTAGTCGTTCTCCCACCACGTCAAATTTTATGGTTTTTTGTTTATGCACAAGATTTTCACCCAGGTGGTTTGCGTAAATAGTATAGGCACTCTGTGACTCCATAGCTTTCAAGGTGCATTTATTCTTACACGAATCATCACTACCATTCTTGTCTGGCCTGGGTAGCGCTATTGAGAACTTATTTCCTGGTGTATTTACGTTAAATAAATTCAAAAGCACCTCGCAGTACTCGCAAGTTTTCTTTAAATCAGTCAAGAATTCATTTGTTATGAAGTCGTTGCACCCATTTTAGAAAACCTGTACTTTTTCGGGCTTGGGGGAATAAAACAAATTGCAGAAATGTATTATTTATTATTGAGCCTCAAGATGATTTCTTTTGTTTTATTCCCCCAAGCCTCGCTGCCAAGTATGAATTTAAATATATCAGAATTGGTCTATTTAGGCTATTTCTTTCCGGCGCATACAAACGAGCGCAAAAAAGTCACCTTCCTTCCCTGTTCACAATACTTATACCGAATGCTGCGAACCTCGTTTATTTTGTCTTGTCAATGGGAATTTTGGTGACCACGTGACCGTACGTCAGACCTCCCGTCCGTCCGCAGCACAGGCATACCAATGTAAAATAACTCAATCGCGAGGTATGGCAACCCAAATGCAACTCTAGGTTATTTTGGTTTGAAATCGCATACCCAGCCACGTCTTGTGAAGCAGAGACAACTAAAGAGTCAATAAAGACGAGAGCGGAAATTGTTTCTGCATCCGTGTTGTCAAAGTATTAAGCTTAAATTAATTGTCATGTTCACAATTTTGGAATATAGAGAGAGACAAAAAAAAAAAAAGAAAGAGAAATACAGAGAAAAGGAGAAAGTAGGCGGCAGGCCATCGAAGCTCAACGGGGAAAAGAGCGACAGAGAGCTGGAGCGAGAGATAAAAAACAAAGGAGACATTATTTCATATATACTTCACATCATTTCACTCCTCACGGGAGATATGAACTCAATAAATTGACCTCGCTCCCAATGTGTGGCTTCATAGCTCAGTTGGTGGAGCAACGCACCGGCAACGCGGAGGTCACGGGTTCGAATCCCGTTGAACCCCTGATTTTTTTCAGGCTTCTTCTTTCCAATTGCTTAAATTGGAAAATTTACTGCGATGATCATTCTTCACTTTAATCTACAACCGCAGTTCAATAATGAATTATTTCATACATACTTCATATCGAGACATTTTTCTGTTGGAAAAACAACATGAAAATTTTGAAGTGGTGATGAGAAACTGAGTAATGATAGCAAAACAAAAAACAAGAACATTTCCCGCCTCCATAAAACGCCATAGCTAGGAATTTTTTGGAATTTTCACTTCATATTGTAGTCGTGCAAAACAACGGCAAAGAAATGTACAAAAAAAGTTTGCTGCGCGTGCAAAGTTGCTTTTTTGTTAATTAGACCTATTGTTGTTTTTTCAGCGTAAGGTTCTCGTTGCCTTCACCACTTAGCATAACATGATTTTATATTTTGTTTGAGCAAACTATAAATATTATCGAGAACTTCGCTTTTAACCCTGGCTAAATCTATATATTAGATATGAAATAAATCTTATCCGGAAAATGTACTCAGCTAATTTATCGATTCTGTACAGCAATAAAGAAAAAAACTGGCCGGATACTGGGCACCTGACATCAATACCTAGTGAATGTTTCTGGCCCCCGTTATTCCAAACGAATTGAATTTCAAGAAGAATAGATAAATTTTGTGAGAACCTGTCTTCTTTAAATATCTTCACTTTAAATATAAAACAGTTTCTTTGAAAATATCACATATTACCAACCCATTTCGGAACAGCACTAGTTTTGCTGCGCAGTAAACAGCGTAAATATTAGCCATGAAAAGTTTACCCACCTGAACAGAACGGCGCTCTCTTCAACTGTTTCGCAAGCTGTAAACTCGCCAAAACGTTCATCTTAAAGCTGAAATGTTCAGCTTTCATTCGAAATACTTTGTTTACCGAGAACTGAAAAGGGCGCCTCAAAAATTGAGTTTTTGTTTTAAGTGGCCGCATACCGGTACCGCCGGATACTGGGCAACATACAGTATTCAAGTTTTATGGGTATGGTAATCATGATCTCGGCACTCTAAACATGTTGTACCCCCACCCTCCCCCCTGAAAAAGCAGGTGTCATACACCCCTACCTCCCCTCCCATAACGGCCATCTCTTCATAAAGGCCACTTTCTTCTGTCTCCAAGGTGGCCATTGTGGAGAGGTTCACCCGGTGTAAGTAGAATATGCCCGTCCGAGTGATTGTGATCCTGAAATGTTGTTGACAGCCATGCAGTCAGAATCAAAGCGATTTGTATCACGTCATTTGATGGTATTAAACTCTGGTTTTTGACCTGATTTGTCAATTAAGTCGCGATGTTATCGGTGTTCTGTCAGTTAAGCTGTGATGTTATTGGCTAAGCAGAAAAGAAACAAAAATAGACCCCGGCTCCGATCCCGACCCCTAGTCCTCGTTTTACTGACAACCGAGTCTGAGAATCGATTACGAAACCTTTATATTCAAATTCCCCATTGTACGGAGCAAAACTCCAGTCAAATGCCGGGGAGTGGGGGGCGGGGGAGGTTCTCAACAGCGTTCATTTCTCTAAGAATTTGATAACTTGACAATTTTTGTTTGCTTGCTAAGCATCCTTTTATACGCAGATGAAATTTTCTATCACGATTACCTCGATTTATACTGGGATACATTTAAGTAAATCAAAATGGCGGATCCAAGATGGCAGATGGTTTCAGTTCCTTATTTACGTAATAAATGTCGTCATCATGACATCCAGCTAGTTTTAAAGATCATTAATGATCTTGCTAACTTCTTCATGTTATGAGACACCTCAATTTTTAAATGTATTTTCGCCTTATGGCTACTTTGAGAGAAATTTGGATTTTGCTAATAAATTCAACAACATGACGTTTTAATGACATCAGATTACGTCATGGTGTCAATCAAGTTATGCCTAGATGTTGGAAATGATGAGTAAATTACTCTGTGTGATTTTGATGCTCGTATCATGGGCGGTTTTGAAGTCATAAGGAGGGCCTCCGAAGCCCCCTCCCCCTGCCCCCCTGTCCCTCCCTCATCCCGGTTGCATAAAGCAAAAGAAAAAAAAAAAAAACAATCCCGGTTTGAATAGGGCTAGGATGCGACGACCACAGACTACGACGACGGATAAAAATGCTACTGCACATAAACAGTACCACGTGACTGTTTGTCACGAAAGGTTGTCCCAAGGACGGGGAGCAGTACTAAATACGACGAAGGAGTGTTTTTGCAAGTCTACTTTCGTATCAACCCTAATTTGTGCCCAGCTGTAGAGGCTAGCTCACTTAGGAAAGGAAATAACCCCTACCTTACGGTCATACAATGTACACTATCCAGTTTCAGATCAATGAAAGGGGCGCCAGGCAATACCCTTGGCACGTCCCTATTTAACACGCGTTAATAACACACTGAGGCCTTTATGCATGCATGAAGTGGCATTTGCCTTTATTTTTATTTCAAAAGTCCCCTTGAATTATAGTGCTATTATTTAACACCCCGTAAGTCCTCTTACATCTTGAAAGTCGTTTCCGAGTACCGTAAGCCAAAAGATCTTCTTGATAATATTTCCCGAGGCAAATACCTTAGCCTAACTGTCCACAGGGTATAAATTTTTCTAAACCTTAATTAATATATTTACGTTTCACTCTACGCGGCCACTTGTTGAGATAAATGTGTAAGAGCATGCTTTAGCCAGCTTTGACCATAACATATGTGCAGGCCAACGGGCATACGGTCTTAACGATCCAGCAATTTCGGTGCCAAGAAGTTTTACAGCCTCTCCAACTGCAGCTAACCTTTGGGACATTGACGCATTTGGGCACGTCTCTACAAACTCGTTTGCACACCCTTTTCCTTACGTAACCTATAGGTACAAATGGTAGGGGAGTTATACACTTTTTCAGGTAATTTAACTGCAAGCCTAACAAACAGCTTTGAGGTAGGGTAGTAGTTTTTAGACTTTAGACGAGTGAATTTTTATCTCTACTGAGATGCTTGGTTCTTTTACAGTAAGTATAGTCATTGCAATGTTTACTGATAGATAAAGGGTAACCCAAACTGTATTGAAGTAAATTATACCCTGGTACATAGAGTTGATACGACTTTTGAAAACATATATTTTTTTTACACGAATCGGCCACACGAAACCAGTGAATCCCCTCGTCGAAACCGCATCTATTAAAAATCGCAGTCTTTTTTAAACCGATTTGTATATTAGACGATCAGAAACCAGATATTTTCGAATTCAAAGTAAATTTTTTGTTTTTTCAAATTCAAAGTGGTAGACAACAATTTGTTTTTCAACTCGTTGTCTGCATCGTGACAGCCGATTTTGGATTTGTTCAGAGCCAATTTTGGGTTTGTCCAGGGTTCATAAGTGCCTGATGGAACAATTATCTATAGGCAGAACTGTAACGTCCTTGTAATGTAAGCACCCAATCAAGGTTATTTGTGCCTAACCGGAGAAATATTGGGCAAATGATTTGCATTTATAACTGTCCGATCAGCCTTGTCAAGTAATTGTAAACATAAAGGCAGGCCTGGCCATCGAGGAAGAGTGGGGGAAAAAAATGGTAGTTAGCAAATGTAAATTGTAGTAGCGTTTTCTTGTGGATGGGTGAATCCAAACCTGAAACAGCCACACAGAGAATTCGTGCGGACGCAAATATAACAGTAGCATGGGGCAGGATGCGGTTTCGGCCTTCCTGGACTATGGGTGTGGACGGCGCCATTGTTTGAAATTGAAAACACAAAGCTTAGACTGATAAAAACTATGGATTTTTTTTCAGGTTTCTTTTTTGTTAAATCTGGTTTAAATTAAACGGGTTTCTTGGTATAAAGGGGTCTTTATGCAAAAAGATGATATGATGCCTTTGGTTCACTCTTAGTTATACATTTGCAGGGCCTACAAATGTTGCCTTTTAGTTGATCAATCCTTTCACCTGTTTTAAAACATGAGACAATTGTATAATTGTTATAGCTTCTACAACCTTACCTTTAACCCCTTCTTTTGCTACATCTGTTAAATCGTTTGCACCCATTATTGGATCTTCCATTTGATCAGCGTCATTCTGTTTCTCATTTATCTTCCGGATTCGGTAAATTGGCAACTCTGCACACAGATCCTTCATCTCGTCACTCAAGCCCGAACGATCACTCAGCTTGCCAATAGCCTTGAAATTCTCCTCTGACGCAGTGGTCACTTTAGAATCTGCACTCTTCTGCATCTGTGAGTTGTGTAAACCAGAGTGAAAAATTAATTAATAATTTCGAGTGGAATTATCAATAGGTTGCCAGGGTCAGCAAAATTTCAGGTAGAACTTGGAATGAATAAATAAAGAAATTAGTAACTGAAATAAATAAATAAACAAATACTTTAAACAAATCTCTCCAGTGTAATTAGCTAGTGGTAACCTTGATTTAGAAATTACTAAAAGGACAGAACGTGTAACTGGATGGTAAAAAAAGACATCATGCAGTGATTCTTAAAAACTAATGATAGCGCTGAAATTTGACGAGATTGGACTCAAATGGGTTCTTTTATCTTAAGTGTGGCCAAAAACCGATTGGGTGGATCTTGTCTCCTTAGATATATATAAAAAAGACATTAAAACTTAAAGTGTGTTCTTCTCTTTGCACTGTAATTTTTGTTAAATTATGATAAACTGTTGAGGAAGTTCGTGTTATTAAATTCTCTCTGTAATCAGCTGGTGTTATAATTAGACGAATCGGATACTCGTTAAATGGCCCGCCTGATTTTGCTTAATCATTCGTATCGCGTATGATTACAGGCCTAACTGGCCTCAATTAAGTCCTTTTTTCCGATATTAATTGCTGCCTGTATTCTAGAAACGTAAGTGAAAAACTCGTACATTAAAAATTAGCTTGACGCTAATTCTAACGTGGTTTGTTTTAGATCATCAGACACGTACCAACTGAAGTAGTTTCAGCAGGTCAGCAGGTCGAGGAACGTTTCCGATGGAGTATCTCAAAAAGCAGGCCTTTACCTCTGGCAATCGAATCATCGTCAAGTTCTGCAGTAAAGTTAAACCAATACAAAGCAATAGATACAAAAGATTAGTGAAGAAAAAAAAAATAAATAAATAAATAAAAAGAACGTACGTGATTGTCTAATAGGTAATTTTATCAAAGTTACCTTTTTAGTTTAACATTTTGAATCAAACCAACTAAACAAAAGTGAGAGTCCCAGATTAGGCTTCTAATTTTTCTTTGCTTGCTTAGTGCCGTGTCAACTATATCTCTTTCGGCGTCGACTTATTTTATGAAAACTCCAGTCGTAACTTATTATACAGGCTAATTGATACGAAATCAAGAGGCTCTTTTATATCATCTTGTATATAGTTGTGGTCCTCTTGCTTTATGTTCTGTCAGAAACCATAAAAAAATGGCGTTTTATGTCCATTTCAGAGACATCGTTTCCGCAAAACTGCGCAGTGATAATTTCGCATTTAATATCCGCCTTTTATCTTAACGTTATAAAGACCGAAAATCAGAGAAACTAAGGTTTGACTAGATCGCATTAGAAATAATTTCAAGTTTTAAACAGAAATGGAAAAAAAGAAGACTCCAGATTTAGATTAAATTTAGTTGAGGGGGTTTGACCTTTTATGTTAGTTACTGACCTTGTTGAAGTCGTAGACATAGTCTCCTTCGTTCTTGCCCGAGGAAGCTTGACGCAAAGAGAAAGTCTCTGAGTTCTTGTTAGCATCGACTTTGATCCTTTCGTACTTATCTTTGGATAACCTGAATGTATAGGCCTGCGAAAACACATGTAAAATAAGAAGTGGTACCATATTTTGTTATTAATGTATTTAATAACTGATTATAGACAAATGAGTAACTTCGCTATATATTATTATGTAAATGGCCATATAAATACGGGTCTCGTTAGTCGAGGCACGTGAATGAGATTCTTACCCTTTTATTCAATAAGCCCTTGAGTCATAATAATGCGTGGCTGTCAGACACTTGTTCTTTAGCGTTCACATCACGGCATCGGACAATTGTGTAACCGGCTAAAAATTTCGTTCACGCGGGACCGTTCAAAATTTTCGCTCTGTTCACATAAAAATGACAAACCGGATTGAATTCTAATTTCTACGATGGTTGTACCATCCGCCTAATTGCAGAGCGCTACTTTAGCAAATCTAAAATGGCGTCTCCCAGCTGAATAACCACGCATCCATGCAACCACACCTTTGGAGTACAAGAATTTCAACGGCCATGGTGTTCACAACACGCCAGTCAAATTTTCGACCTCTGTGACCTTCGTGTGAACGAAGCGTAAGCATCAATAGCCCATAATACGTCATAGGATAAAATATTAAGCGCGAAAATCAACGCCATCACATTCAACTTGGGGAGAGTTAAGCTAAAATTGTCTTGGTGAAAACGCAATATTTTAAACTGAATTACCTTTTGTCCACTTTCAGCGTTAGAGGTAAGAATCGAAGGGGCGATCAGCAAAAGAAACAGCATCAATCGAGCCATCGTGATAATAAAATGTCGACTGTTTCTTATTTGGGTTCCTCAAGAGATCCTCAGTCGAATGATGCAGCTAATGTGCAGAGCAGCTTCTTTTATGCAAGCCTGGCCATTGTGTTGACAAAACTTGAAAATTTTTCGGACATTGCTTCTACTTCCTGGTGTCAGCATATTTCGTATGTTTCAGCTCAACAAGTTTTATTTCGTATTTGTAACAGCGGAAGCCATTATTATAAAAATATTAAAATATTATTAAAAATAGCAGCAAGCGGGCGTCGTTTTCTGAGATATTAAGCAACATGTAAGAGTACTAAACTTCTATAAAAATGTTGCTTGGAGCTTCGCCTTTATCTTAAAAACAGGAGAAAGAGCACCCTGACGAAAGCTGACTTCCGTATAACACTAAATGAGAACTCCGGCTCTAGTCTATTTCAGCACGTCAACTTTGAGCAGAAATTTGACAAATAATGAAATTGATTTCTTGCACAATTTGAGGATTCAAATAAACGGGGGATAACCAGACGGTATTATTCATTCCTGTGAAATGTTTCTTATGTTGGTGTCGAGTTGTGCCCGAATTCTGACTCTTACGCGAAACGAGATTCTAGGGGGTATCATTCATTATATCATCACCGAAGATTTTGCATTAATTTGTTGTCTTGACTATTTTCTTTGATACTCTCTATTTTGTTTAAGACCGTTATTCCAATTTTTTTTTTGTAGCCAGTAACTGAATTGCTATTAATACGCAAAAGTAAGAATATTCAGGAGATCACATTGAATCAATGTGCCTTTCCTATTATTTGCGATCACGTTTTGCATTTTAACAATATTGATTTAATGTTTTTCCTTTCCATACCTTTAATACCTTTACTTTTTGTACCCGGGATGGCTCAAATTCTGCCATTTGAGGCAATTATTTGCTATTCACTTTAGTTTTAATCAAAACTAAGAGTAAATAGCATTTAGAACTATTCTCAAGGCTCCCTCACTGATCTTGCTAGAGCTTAAATGAGCGGATAGTTCTTCATTTGTGACGTGATGCTGCACCGAAAAAAAAAAACAGTTTTATACTATTACAAGGAAGTTAAAACGCTCATGCAAGATTTTATACTGCAACCATCGTATAACACAATTCGTTCTCGACCGGCGCTCGCGCTCGAAACGTAACCAGTTACCATCATGGTGGCTAAATCGGTGACAACCATAAGCAAAAAGGCGAAATCTTTGTATGTAACTTCCGACCAAGCTCAAACAGTCTAAACCCCTTCATTAAAACACAGAGGGACCAGTTCGCGTCAACATCGAATAATATGATTTTAGTAGAAACAGTCATTAAACCCCGCAACAGAACCTAAATTTTAAGAACCTGTTAGGTTAAAATTTGACAGTAAGACCCCCTATATACAAGAACCTGTTAAGGCTAAAATTTGAAACAGGTTCTTATTTTCTAAAACCTGTGAAAACATTCTGTACACTTGGGCAAATAAGATAAGTCAACATTCAGAATCCTCTTTGGAGACATAGATTCCTCATCACATGCAGATTTTATATTTTGAGGAATATTGTTTTTTTTTTCTTCAGAAAATAAGAACCTATTTAAGAACCTAAACAGGCTAAAATTGTGCTAACTGCCATTTATATAAGAACCTGTTTAGGTTAAATTGGAAAAATCGAGGTTCTTAAGTCGTGGGTTTTTACTGCATTTCAACTTTTTTTTTAATAAACCCTTTCATTCCTTATTATCGATCATTGTTATAACGCCCAACCAGCTGCTGTCTTAATGCTAACAATTACAAGATTTTTAATTAAGCGCAGTTAGTTGCCAGACTTACCTAGAGAGTACTCTTTGAACACCATGAAATGTGCCGGTTTCCTCCTCCCTATACTCGAAATCTTCACGGAATTTACGTTTAGTTCGGAACTTACTGAGGCAGCAAACATTTTTTCAGGCGCAATTGGCCACCTTTGGGAGGGAAATTTCCGTTAACAAAAGAGTCCATGAAGGAATAACTTCAGATGAAATTGAAGCCGGCGCAAACTTATTAATTTGCATTTAACTTAGACGAATTGAATATTATTTCTAATGAGAATTTCCATTTTTTCCTGCAATCATTCATAAGAAGTATTTAAAAAAAACATTTTAATGTAGTGTGCCTTTTCTTTAACAAAATTGATGAACTAAATGGTTTTGCAATATCTACTCTTTCTCCTATAAAAAAAATGTAATAAAGACGAATTTACTGAGAGCTGCGTGATTGTCTAAAGTTTATTCCCACGCTTGCTCTTAGATAAGGAAGTTGAAGAAGAATTACACTTCGGATATATTTGCTTAGCAAACACAAGTTTTATATTATTATCACATAACTGTTTCCGTTTCAGATACAAAGCAAACAGAAACTTAATCAGATTTCTTCTTCCTCGCCCTAAGAATAAATTATACAATTTTAAAGCTGAGATTTCAGGACGTAAGCATCGTGTTGAAAAAGATAGAGGAAAATATATGAAAGAGTTTTATTCGCGGTTATATTTTAAATAATCCTCCATGAATTCAGTACAAGGCAGGGTTCGTCTATGATAAGATTGGGCCATTGTGTGCCATGAAATGTCCATTTGCGTTGCTAGAGCTTTTATTTGGCAAATAAAGGTTTGGAGGTACAGTTTTGTTGATCGGGGACAATATATTATTCTTTTAAGGAAAAAATAAAACATCAAATGATAGCTAAAACAAATGAAAGACTTCAGCGACCCTTTCTCAAGAATTGCTTTATCATAAAGGAGTTGTCCAATACTACACGCGAGAATTCATTCTAGACGAAAACATTTGAGCACAGCCGATGAAAACAGTTATTTCGGCAATCATTCTTTTGTCCTAACGCATGGATGGAGAAATTTTATTTTCACTCAGGTGTTAAAATTTGTTTGCTATAGTAATTTCTTATTTACCCGCACTTTTTTTAAGTCCACGCTACGTTAAAGTGCTACTACGATCAAATTTGGGAATTTGCTTTTTATTACGTATTTCGAAAATGTATGTAAAAGTGACTTACCGTGCCAAGTTTGGAGTCCAAATATGATCTGGAAGTGTGTTTATTTGCACGGCAATTTTCGTAAATGTCTTGCCGCCATTACTCGATTCAAAAAATGACCGGGAGTAGATTTGAAGGAGTTGGGGCGAGATGTGACGTAGAAACATCAACGCGACAAAGCAAGGCAAACAAACGTGGCTAATTTTGCATGCAGGACGAGATATTTTTGGAAGCTTTTGGAGGTTCTTTCTTCGCTTTTTTGACTTAAAGCGAAAGTATGCCTGGTAGACGTTGTGTTGTTCAGGACTGTGGAAACGTAAAGAACGATGAATTGGAGATTTCTATTCATAATTCTCCTGATTCGGGCAGCGTTAGATTAAAGTGGTGTCCATTCATCGGAAGGATTTCAACACAGTGGGAAAATTTGCTGTGTGCTCGGAGTATTTTACAAGGGATTGTTTTACGCTTGCTTTTCCGATGAAAGGCATGAAAAGGAATTTGAAGAAGGGGACGTTTCCAACCATTTGGAAAAAATCCTCTCAAACACTATCAAAGCCGAGTAGACGATCGGTGAGTGAAATTACAATGTATTTGCGCTGTGCTTATCACCATTATATTTATTTCCCCATTTACCTGTGACATGATTTTTTCTGGCATCGTTGTTCAATATTCGTGTAATGAATGCTCTGACTATTTGAACTTCCCATATTGCTGCATGTGTTTTCATAGTTTTCTGCTTTCTTCTCATAGTTATAGTAAAACGGGCATTTGCGCTGAGCGGACGTGAAGTCAATTCCCCAATTCCCAGACCTTTCCACTCAAGCGTAAAATTTAGAAAAAGTGAAGCTACATAGAAATCCGGCTCTCTATTTTTTGAGAGATTATCTTGCTGTTACTTTGAGATTTGACAGTACTCCAAACTTCCCTCCAAGAAATCTTACAGCAAATTAAGAGTTACACGCGAGTCTTTTAAAACGACCAAAAATGGACTTAGTCTGATTTCTACATTCTATAAGTTCAGTTACTGTTTGCGGGTTTTTTTCGTTTGTATTTTAATTCTATTTTCACTGTCTGCAAATGATGCATACATTTTAAGGCAAAGATGTGGTTAAACCTTGCTTCCATTTCTAGTTTTGAAAACATCGACATAAAGCTCAAATTTAAACTTGTTTTGAAGGGGAGATATAAAAAATGGTCGTCCCTATTTTCATTTTTAGCTACTAAATGAAATTCTGGCTGGTCAAACTACTAATGAGGATACAGAGGAAGAAGACAATCCTGAAGAAGAGGTGATCTCTTTGAAAGGAAGTTCTGCACCTGAGGAGAGTGCTGACACTATGGGGGCTCCCAATCTCAACGCTAAGGAGTCTCCAGAAGTCGAGGGTGTTCTGAATACAAGTCAGGGTTCTTTGCTTGAGGTAAATCCTGAAAAGGAGGGCTGCATCCCTGAGACTGAGACGGGTGAGATAAGTGTTGATGCTGAGATGGCTTCAGAGGTCCTAGGTACTCCTGGTGATAAGACAGCTCTCAAGAGCCAAGGGATTTCAGGCACTGATGAGGTTACTGAGACCATGCAGATCCTGGAGGCTCAAGGAATCGAAAAAGTGCAGGATATGGATGAAGTTATGCAGATTGATGAATCATTAACGATTCCTGAACTTGAACAGGTTTCTATGGTAGGCGCATAACTCTAATTAATGTTTATTTGCATCTTTGTATTATCATAACAATGGAAAACTACATGTGCAGTTATTTTACAACAATACTAAAACACAAAAATTCTTAAGTCTTGTTATTACAGCCTGTATCAATGTTGAAAGTTTGTTTTTTGTAGGATACTCCAACTGGATATGCTGAGAATTGCACAACATGCAAAACCCTGAGGAGTGAGGTGACTCAGTTAAGGGGCAAAGTCACAAGACTGAAGAGTAAGTTAATCTCCAGTCAAGATCAGTGGGTTGAAACCTTTAAGAGCATACAAGAGCCGAAGCAGTTGCTGATGGTGAATGCTGGTGAGTCAACAATAATTGATGTTGATGAGTCATATAGGCATAACTGCCTATCTTTATATTTTTATTACATTTTATCAATATTTGATTATTTAATAATAATTAAAATTTTAATGGTGATAGAATTTTTTTAATTCCATTTGTTTAAGCTATTCAAACTGAACCATGGCCAGTAACAAATGAGACAGAGTTAGGGCTAGAGGATGAATCAGAAGATGAGCAGGAAATGTAGGATGACGCATATGAGGAGTTTGAGTGTGATGAAGACCCTACATGGAGTCCTGAAGAAATCGAAGATGCATATAAAAAACTAAAGGAAGATGATGACTCAGTGAAGACTCATCAGAACCCAAGGTACAAAGATGCAAAATTTATCGCATTTTAACATCTTAGCTCTAAGTATCCTCTGGGAAGTGATTTAGGCCTAAAACTAACTTCCATTATGAGAGGATCTATTCAGAAACAAGAGTACATGAAATTTGTTTTTTAATTTACTCAGATAAGAATTGCACAAAAAAAAAAAAAAAAAGAAGAGGCATAGCCAGCCCATAGACTGGAAGTCCCTGGCCTAAAATTGTTTGGTTTGTCCACTCAACCACTTGTAATAAATTGTGCATCGTTGGGGTGGGCTAGATAGGTTAAGGGCTCAACGTTGTCATGTGTCCAATCAACAGAATTATTATAAAAAAGGATTTTTCAGGATGTATGTGAGAATAAAATCCCAACCCACAATTAGCCAGGTTTACAACAAGTTGAAAAACTGGCAACACCCTGAGAAAAACAATAAAAATGATAATCATTTTTTTTATTGTTATTTTATGATTTCAGATGCTATGATTAAATGAGTATTTCCCTTCAATCATTTTTTACAGGTTGGATCTACAAGGAAAAAACATTCGAGAGGAACCGAAGGGAATTGTTTTCCTTTCCAAACTTCTTCCTTTGTTTCAGTTCTGCCACTTGTGCTTCTTTTCAAAACCCAAACTTTCTGTATCACAGACAGGTACCTTGTTAACCGTACAAAGTTTCTACAGAAACTGTAGCCAGACAAAAGTCTGGAAGAGTCAACCAGACCTGCTAGGAAAGTTTCCAGCAGGTAACCTGCTATTAAATTTTGCAGTGCTGTGTGAGCCGAGTGAAAAGAAAGAAATGATACATTAAAACTGTAATTAAATTCAGGCTGAATTCGATTTAATTTTTATTACTTGTGTACATGAAAATTGGAGCAACATCAGAATTCCCAGCCACTAAACTTGAGTTTAACTGAAAGCTAGAAGAACAGGGCTTCACACAGTGGGCAAGTTTGTCATTCAACAAAAAGGGAGTAAGTGGCTGAGAATTCTGAAGTTTGGCTCATAAAATTAAGTGCTTACTTAAGCAACTACTGTAGGTCCTTCTTGGCCCCAATGGCATACATGACACTCTTCAAGAACAAACAGTGCATTTATTATTAATTTTCTTCATCTTCGAATCCACGATAATGGCCATTTTGACTCGGAAATTGTTTCCTGATTTTATTGTAGGCACAACAGGGCAAGGGATATCGCCTGGAACTACCAATATAACTCCACAGCAGTCTTGTAAATTGGCGATAGGCCACAGACCTCAGGAATCTAGTTAGAGAAATGAGATCACTGTTAATTCAAGGAGGGATTGGATGGAGATAAATAAATACTCCTTTTAAAAATAAGCAGTTGGGGGCAATAAAGCCATTTAGAAAATAAAAAATGTGATTCTATGAGATCAGTCCACGGCGATAAGCTTAGATGTATCAATTATTCAATGCTATGTAAGGTTCGATCGTTCCGATACAAAGTCAACAATACCCCAACTTACTCATTATCACTTTTGTTGCTTTGTCCACGAACAGTTGTGTACGACTTTCCAGCTCGCTTTTTTAGGCCCAGTGCAGCCACTTCTAATACGTGGCGGTTTAAGCAGACGCTTTCAAACCCTGGATGGAGGGTTATGCATACGGTCCGGTCTCCAATGGCTTCTTCCATGACCTATTCGCAGCGACCGATCTCTTTGCAGCAAATGCACTCCTGCGCTTTTGTAACAAGGCTGACAGAGCAGTTCGAGCACGAACACCTGCAAAATAATGTGAAAAATTCGTCAAACACAAGAAAAATACGTCTGTATAAAATTATTAATTGTCTGACCTCTTCAATAAAACTATCGCATAAAATCAAGACTACAGCTAATCACATAGCAACGAAATTGTAAACTTAAACAAAACACTCAGTCGCGTTCGTCACGCGGGGGATTTAACGGGTATGTTGAAATTGGAAAATAAAAATATAAATCTACATTCCATGATAATACCATACCATTCATACGCTGGCACCTCTCCCGAATATCTTCGTTGAAACTGTTGTTCCTCTTCTTCTTCGCGATGAACTCTTTCGTTGTAGTCCGCGGCTTCTTCCTCGGTAGCAAGGGGTTCGCAACTGTCCTCGTACGGCGCAAATTCAGACAATTCCCCCATCACTTCGTCAACTGTAAAACTTTCTAGATCACTTTCAGATGTGCAGGAAGAGGAATTCGACGGAGATGACATCTTAAACGTCTTGTTAAAAGGCTCTAAACTCACAAACTTTTCCCAAATGCGAATCTTTTGGTTGATGTTTCTACGTCACAGTGCATAAATCACGTGGTCAAACGCACGACCGCTTTGCGGAGATCTCGCGGGCTATTGCTTTGCGAACTTTGTAATGGCGGACGGTATTTACGCACTTTTCAGTGAGAAATTACCAGCTCCCGTACGCAAGTATCGTTCCAATTTTTCGCTATTTGTATAATTTTGAACATATACACAAGATTTATGTTAAAAAAACTCGGAAACAAAAACAAAAATTTTCGTCGTAGTAGCACTTTAATGATTTTTTTTGCCAGATAAGTAAAATATAAGTTACTTCATTTTTACGTCCCCCTTACAGTTCACTATCCAACATTAAAAAAAAAGTAGCCATTAAAGTCTGATAATTTGACATTATTTTTACTTACTAAACTGAGGCAAACATGGAATATAGATTGCTGAAATCCTCAATAAAAGCTCTGCGTTTTAGAACAGGGAAGTGATTGTCTCCCTTAAAAATATTTTTATTTGCTTTGCAATTGAAATAATCAGGTTGTTCCAAAATATATCATATTTTTCGCTTTAATTTACAATTTTTGTAAAGACCTGGGATGGCGACGAGGGCCTAATTTC